CTTGCTCTCGTCACACCACCGAACTTCGCTGTGTGTCAAGATGGCTTACAGCGAAAAGTCGACCATGAGCAGCTTTAGAGAAGTCCTCCAAGGAAGGGTTAGGTGGAGGTGGTAAGTTTGTGTCCCCCACTGTAATGCCTATGAAGGCGCTGTGGGTATTTGATACATAGAAAATTGCCGAGCACAAGATAGCTTTGATATAAAGCCACCTTCATGAGGCCCTGAAAAGGTTTGTGATAAATGTTATATCTAGATTGATAAAATTGCGCTACCTTCTTAAAGGTGTAGGCAGGATTGGGTTCGAGTTCCAGATTGGTTGCAGACAAGAATGGTGCCTAGAGGGCGAGTGCGAGGGCAGCGGCATCAGTTGTAACATGTTCTTTGGTGGTTGAAGTGTTTCTTGGAAGATTTGAATTTCACAGGGTGTGAATAAAAGATTCGAATAAACAATACAGCTGGTATGGTTCAAGTTTATGACAGCTTAACAAAGAGAACAGCTTGCATACAGAGTTTTACTGTACAGCCGCAGCCACGTTTTGAGCTCCGATGTGGTGTGTCAAGAGCATGCACGGCGTTGTAGTCATGCTGACCACGTTCGAGCCAGAAACTGCCTCAAGTCGCTTCGCAGAGCAAAAACCGACTGGTCTACAGAGACGTGGCCGCGACTGTACATGATAATAGTACTTGCTAACTTCTATAGACTTGGCAGAAGGTATATATACAGTACTGAGAATTTCTTCTGAAGCCTTTGACCAAATTGTTTTGTAAAGGCTGACAAATACCGCCATGAAGGTTTACTGCAGGAAGTCTGCACCAAGTTGCCATCCAGCAGACAATCAATTAAGGATCGACCAAATTTTCATTGGAACATATTGTTAAGCCAACAACAACGCTAATGTCCTGGGCGTCATAGTTTCCCATTTATACACTAAAGGAAACTCTGGTGCTAGTAGCTATGGGAACTTCAATGCAAGGCGCTTCAACAAGCATGTAAAATTATGAGCAGTAGATGGATTTACCTAATATTCGTACTTTACATCCCATGTGGCTTCCCATGGGTTGAAGCTTTTTGTCAAGAAATAACGCTGCAATGGTTCACCAGTTATGCTTCACCCCTTCATCTTTTAGGCTCACCAGTTTAAATAGGGTCACGAAGTTCAAAACCTTTGTTCTTTTATTGAAAACAAAACCGAAACGCTGCAATAAACGAAGCCACAAGGTTCAATTCGAGGCTCGCAAGGTACGAAGACTAGGCAAATCTATAATTCCCATGATTTCAGGGTTATCATTTAATAAAAACAAACACCCTAAATCAAGAAACTGTTTTTTTTTTTTTTTGCAACAACGCTTTACTACTGAACATCCAAGCGCTGCATTATGAAGTAAGGTACAGAAAAGGCTTCGGCAAATTATCGGTTCTCACAGCATGTCAAACACAGAAGGTAGCAATGTCATCAGTAAATTGCAATAGCAGCAGTAGCAAAAACATGTTTTTACCTAATATTTGGCACAATGCTATCAAAGCACAGCATGGTTCATATATATATCTCAATGCCCCTTTGCTCGTATGATGAGAAAATCAAATCCAAACACAATTGGGAAAGAAACAGAGTCAGAGCTCAAACGAATGCAGGGCGTAAATTTCCATTATGTATAGTGCGTCACACTTTTACTCTGTTTTATTCAACAGTCAAACATTTAAAGAACAGTTGTATCTGACATAGGCATACCTCACAGTCTGCTATAGAATTAGTTTTTGACTACATGCACAGTGCATGACCATTTTCATGTGTTGTCCCAAGTCAAAACATGGCCACTGGGGTTGAGAATTCAACCCTCAACTTGGCTCAGCAGTGCCACAGCAACTAGGCCCCCTTCAGTTAAAATTGCATTGCATGCAGCTGTGACACTTGTTGTATTCGATTCTGTTAGATCTAGCTTCCAAATGTAGATGAAAATTTGATGAGACGCTCAAATGTAAATGCACGCACAGTAACAAAAAAAATGTTACTGAACACAATGTCTTAAGGCAAACAAATTCACTTGGGTGTGGGTAGTCCATGACTATGAAAACAAGGGTGAAAAGGCAAGATATCATGATTTTGCTTGATGAGTTGCCTATTTATTCTCTGCAGAGCCATAACTTCCATAAGCTTTTGCCGGAAGGAGTACATTTTGCTCCATGGTATAAGGAGAGCACAATGCACATTCTCTGAGACACTTATGCAGTCCCACCTCTGTCATAAAAACTAAAGCTCTATAACAAAATTAAACTTACCATACACTAAAAGAGAAGACATAGGGCCCAATTGAATTACTACTAACACAACATTCTTACAGCCCATAATACAGTCAAACCTATAATATTTACGTGATGTCATCTGCTAGGAGCCCTGGCACATCAGTGCCTATACTCGTTGTCACGTGCGTGGACATGATTGTTGGACTAGAATGAATGTTCTCGGCAGCACGTGCCACTTTGATATTTTTTTTCTAAGAAAATAGCATAGTGAGGAGCAGCGCTGCCTAACATTAGACTGTCATGAGCCACACTGCTAAAAAACCACAATTATAGCAGAGGACTTGCTGATGCCGCCTGGAAGAAGGAGCTCGATGATTACCTTCAATGAACACAGTCTTGCAATCTAGCTGTGATATACTTATTATAGCAGAGGACTTGCTGATGTCACCTGGAGGAAGGAGCTCGATGATTACCTTCTATCAGCACTGTTTTGCAATCTAGCTTTGATATACTTATTACAGCAGAGGACATGCTGATGCCGCCTGGAGGAAGAAGCTCGATGAATACCGTCTATGAGCACAGTCTTGCGATCTAGCTGTCATATACTAGCCTTAATCATGCTGAAACTCATCGTGAAACAACACTCATACCTAACACAAATATGCCATTATTACACTAAACATTCATAACAAAAGTTTACTCGTCAATACACGCAACACAAAAAAATTAAAATCGAAATGAAGCCTGAACACATCCCACGAGCCAGCAAAAAATATCTCCAATTTCGATGGCCTGTCAGCAGCTCGCTCTGCTCAAATGAATGGTGAGCACAATCACACCGGAATAATCAATCTGGCTGGCCCGCTGCCAGTTATGCTGAGCAAAGGCACTCACCAAAAACTAGAATGCAACCAAATTGTTTGTCTGGTCAACATATTTACCGACTGGTGCATCAACTTTGCATGTCTAATGAATCTCAATCTTCAGTTCATGTGGTATTCGCAGCATGATATCAGCCTCTCGAAGTGATCAGCAATTTACTTTATCTTGAGTGAACCGATTTTACCTTATGCTTGCGTTTCTTCAATTTCATTACTCAAGACAACTGCAGTCCTCAGCAGTGCTTTTCATTCTCTGCTACAATGCTTGTTCCAGTACCTGAACTGACCTGTCCTACACATTACGTAGCCTTCAAAGCACCATTTCTTTTTCAGATTAGTTACATTAATGGCTATTCTCGCACGTTTTGTGGTACACTCTGCTGTTCTTTCATTTTAAGCCCATCACCTTCCATTCTATCTTGCACTGAGCAGGCCTTAACTTCTGCACCAACATTGTGCATGATGGTGCATGTTAAGTTGTGTCAAAAACAGATATAACATAACTGATATAAAATGCCACCAACCAAGATTATAATTTGCTTTTTTTTCCTTTTTTTTCATTGACACTTCACTACCTAAGCATCCACCTTGCTAAATTGCTATGCCTGAAACTTCCTTCCAAACTGACTGAAGAGAATACCACTCAAGCAACACCACACATATTGTATTATGTATCAATAAATTAAAAAGGGATAAACATGCTAAGGTTTAAGCAACACCTCCTTTTACCCTCTTCTTTGTTTTCCGCTGCTGCACAATAGGCAAACACAAAAAAAATGCAACCGTCAGGGATTTGATGAAATGTTAAATGTATGATGTGTTTATTACTCCGACTTGAAGGGATTTTTGTACACCTTTGTACATGCCATGTCAAATAAATACACATGGTGAAACGTCACTGGCAATAAATAAAAGGCCAGAGCAGATTAAAAAGCTTCCACCACTTAAGGACCACACTCGCTCATTCGGTACAGCTGCTTTCGTGCCTGTCTGCCGTCCACGGTGAAGGCCAGCTCCACATCCAACATTCTGTGCATAAAACAAACAAACAATTTATGCTGCAGCAACCATAAAAGAAGCATGGCAGGAGCCACATTTCATTTCCCAAATAATGCGAGTATATACATACATGGTCACAGGCGTGTGCACAGGGGATACACGAGGTCTGTTAAAAAGTATCTGACCTTTGGCGGAAGAAAAAAAAACTGGCATAATTGGAGCATTGGAAACCTAACCCCCCTCAAAGAAGTCCCCTTGGGACTCCGCACACTTCTCCCACAGGTGCTGCCATTGTTGCAAACATTCTGAAAAGGCCTCTTTCAGAATATTGTTTAGCTCGGCTGTCGTTGCAGTCATAATGTCCTCCCTTGTTTGAAATCGCTCTCTTTTCAATGTCCTCTTGAGTTTGGGAAACAGTATCTGACCTTTGGCGGAAGAAAAAAAAAACTGGCATAATTGGAGCATTGGAAACCTAACCCCCCTCAAAGAAGTCCCCTTGGGACTCCGCACACTTCTCCCACAGGTGCTGCCATTGTTGCAAACATTCTGAAAAGGCCTCTTTCGGAATATTGTTTAGCTCGGCTGTCGTTGCAGTCATCATGTCCTCCCTTGTTTGAAATCGCTCTCTTTTCAATGTCCTCTTGAGTTTGGGAAACAGCCACAAGTCGCAGGAGGCCGTATCAGGAGAGTAAGGAACCTGCTGAACTACAGGAGTCTGACTTTTCGCCAAAAGAAGTCTGAACAAAGCATGAGGAATGTGCAGGAGTATTGAGTATTGTGATGGATGCGCCAGTTTCCTGTTGATCACAACTCACGTCTCTTGCGCCGCAGAGTATCACGTAGGTGTTAAAGGACATCCCTGTAGTACCTCGTAGGTGATTGTTTGACACTGGTGCGTAATCGTGGTGTACCACACCGCGGCACTCAAAGAAAGCACTCAGCATCACTTTGACTTTGCTGCGCACTTGGCGGGTCTCCTTTGGTCTTGGTGACGTCGAGTGCTTCGACTGTGAGGACTGGGATTTGGTTTCCAAGTCGCCAGGTCGTACCCGTACACCCAAGACTCATCACCAGTGATAATGGTGTTCATGAAGTTAGGGTCACTGCTTGTGAAATCTAGCATGTCCTGTGAGACCTCAACATGAAGCTGCTTTCGCTCCACTGTGAGCAGTTTCACCACGAATTTCGCCGCAACTCCATTCATGACCAAATCTTCAGTCATAATGGAATGTCGAGAGAAAGTGCTGATGCCCACCTCTTTCGCAATTTCCCCGATAGTCACACAACAGTCCCGCATCGCCACAGCGTTTACTTCGGCAATGACCTGGTCATTTCGGCATGTTGATGACCGACCAGAGTGTGGCTCACTCTCCACCAATGAGCGGCCGTCTTTAAACTGGTTGTGCCACTCCTTAATCTGTGTGTGGCTCATAGTGTTGTCACCGAAAGCCGTCTTTATCTTCCTAATGGTTTTCGCTTGGCTGTCGCCCAGTTTCCCGCAAAATTTGATGCTGTAGCGCTGCTCCAGTCGCTGTGCCATTTTCCTTGCAATGAAAAACATGACGAGAGCAATGCACTCTACCTCACTGAAACGCTGCATCCCAGTGACTGACGCTATCGGTAGGCGGGAAAAAATTCACACATGCGCACGAAGGTTCAAGGTCGGCTGATGCAAGCGCACTTGCTTCAAATCCATCAGGTGCTCCCCCCCCCCCCCAAAAAAATAATAATAATAAGGTCGGATACTATTCCAACAGACCTCGTATATAGTAAAACCCCATTGATGCGTTTTCCGGGGGACACATTTCAAGAGAAATAAACGTAAAAGCCGGGAATCACAACAGTCAAGAAACAAGAAACGAGAAAACGTTTTGCGGCAAGAGAAATAAACGTAAAAGCCGGGAATCACAACAGTCAAGAAACAAGAAATGAGAAAACGTTTTGCGGCACAAAATTTTATTTTAATGCTTACACGAGAAAAAGACCGCACAGTGTCACCTGGATCGTTTAATAATGCCCGATCAGCATGAAAAGTTTTTCAAACAGCTGCAGCACCGTAGCTTTTTAATAGATGTAGTGCCACCACGCCCGACACTGTGGCAAGCAATGGCTTTTAGCAAAATACTTTGCGAGATTGTCACTGGATGCATCAGCCTCTCTAAGCAATAATGTAGCACTGTTGGCACAGTGCCAGATCATCATGGCTCGTAGTTGTTGGTCGAACACCTGACGAGAGGGAAAGTGCTCCCAAAAACAACTGTTGGGAGAAAATGATCCCGGCTCCACAAGCTACCGACAACGTCATTGGTGCATGCATAGGCGCACACAGTCATGATCTAGTTGGCTGATGGAACTTTGGAGCTGAAAACCTGTCATCTACAGTTGTAGGCACGAAAAAACAAAACACACGAACTTTTCCCACGAATAATAATGATGAGTCCCCGTCAACCTGATGGCGGGAACGAATGCCAATCTCTGAAGCCTTACTCTCTCAAGTGCTAAAACATTAGCAAACCAATTGCATCATAAATAAATGCCACGTTTGCAATATGAATCTCCGAACCAGTGCGTTTTTTTGTTTGTTTTTTTTTTTTTGCAGAACCCGAAGGTATGTTATTTTTGTAACTTGCACCACTCATGTGGCTAATCTTCCTGTCAAGCCAGGCCAAGTCACATGAAAAGTCGCCATGGTTGAACCCTCGCTTACTTGTTCCCTTGCTTGTTCCCTAGCAATCGTTCTGCGAGCTCAGAGCACACTTCGTGACATATCGTATAGAAACCATCCCGCAGTTGCAATATATATTAGGTTCCCAATATATTAGACCCTAGGGGAGTTATGCCGGAACCGGGGGCAAACAACGCAACAGCAGAGATAACGCAGTAGTGAGGAACACCACAGCGGAACTCAACTGTAATGTAATAATTGTTGGGGTTGCACATTCGAAAACCATGATCTGGCTATGGGAAGTGCCATGGTGGAAAGCTTAAGAAATTTCAACCACCTGGGATTGTTTAATGTGCACCTAAATCTAGGCACTGCGGCCTCTAGCATTTCGCTTCCATCAAAACGTGATGTTGATTCTAGGATTTGATCTTGTGGCCTTTGAGGCTCAGGTCAGGAGTCGAGCACCTTTTTCTGCCAGGCCACTGCAGTGAGTTGCACAAGGGGTGAGGGGTGGCGCCCCCCTCCTCCTCTTTATCATTCAAATGGAGGCCGCAATTTTGCCTTATGCCTTTGCTCTGTTACACCTTTCATATCATTCTTTAATGTGAAGAGTTATAGTCCCATTTCAATTCAATGACAGTGGCCAAGGACTCATAATGTTATGACAATATAAAAACTTTTTACTTCCCAACCTTTGCCCAAGGAAAGTCAGGGACCAATGGAAGGCTGCTATGAGAAGCACATTATCACTTTATTTTCATTTTTGTCTGCATTACGAAACCTGTTTACTGATAGACTCTACCAACGCGGAAAGAAGTGGGAAGAGACAACATGACCCCTCCCCCCTTCTCCAATGGAGAACAATGTACTGAACAAGCGGTGGAAGATGGAATGGTTGGTACACGTTGTGTAAGAAGCAAAAAAACAATGCATATAAAAAACAAAGCAAAAACAAAACATGAGGACAAGCGCTGACTGCAAACGGAAGGTTTGCTGAAAAGAACTGGAATATATACGCGAAAAATCCGAAAGAAGACATGAACAAAGACAGTAGTTTTCAATCATGAACGTGACTTCAAGTCGCGGATTTCACCAATATATCAAGGCCCAGATACACATGTCCCCTTTTACGCTGAGCGGGGGGTGCATTCATACATGGTGCAATGTACGGCAAGGTTTCTTGCCGTACCAGTTTTTTTAAGAATTTGCATGTTCTTGCAACCGATCATGTACATGCCAACTTATGCATACAGTGAACACCATCGTCAGTGTGTGTCAGCACCATTCTAAATCAATAGCCAGTTCTGCCTATTTACAAGCAGGTCAGCCGTCCGCTATCACTGGGCAACCTGAAAAAGCTCTCCGCGGTTGCATAGATTTGCTGGTTCTCCCCTCAGCAGTGAGTTTAAGTGACCAGCAGTGACTGTAACAAGCTCTAAGCTTTTAATACATCCCCCAAATAAGCTCACTAATTCATACGGTAGACCGCAGCGATCATATTTTGCGAATATTGCAGCACCACGGATACTCTCTCTTTCGAAAACTATTCCCGTGCTTTTTCCCACAACTGACGAATCCTCCTTGAATGCACAACTAAATCTTGCCCATGGGCAACATTGCGCCCCCTGAGCTTTTTGATTTATACTTCGCACTACGAAATTGCCCCTTGGCCCTATGGTGATGCCGTTTTGACCATGCAGTCTGCATTTTCATTTACCTGAGCTGCCCTCTGCCATACTGTACAATCCCGAGGCCACGAGGACAAGTGGTATTACTAGAATGACAGCCTCCGAGATGAAGAGGTGTCTCGCTACTTTACCACTAGGAGGAGAGTGCTCCTCGCATCGCACATTTTCCTCACACCATATGCGCAAGTGGAGGGAAGCCTTGGGCTGCACACTGACGACGCATCGCTGATGTCGTGTCAAGTTGACTAAGTGGGCGTAGCCGCAACAAAGGGCTATGTCTACCCTCTCCACTACGAGAAAATGTGGGAGGGACAAGCAAGAAACCCAAACCAGCCAAAGCAGGGTCATTCTAAACCCTGTAACTTCTTCCTTACAGCACTTATGTGCAAGAGTTCTGGAAGCAGCATGTTCACATTGTACAAGCACAATTATTCTTCCATTAGAAATATTGGACCACAAGGGTGTTTACTGAACCCTTACAATATAATTTGGAACATCTTTAGAGGTTGAGAAAAACTGCTTTGGAGCACCTCCTTAGCAGAAAAAGAAAAGAATATTTAGGATAACTTGGAGCAATACAACATTGACTAAGGGCACATATTTATACTACCGAGTGGCACTGTCAAAGAAAACTAGTCGTACCTTACACAAAATAATACTCCCTTCCCCCTGAATACTTCAGCTAGCTAGGGTGCATATCTGCATCCAGTAAAACTGTATTAATTCGAGGACAGAGAGAAGTGTTCCAATTAATTCAGATTTCTATGATCCGAGACGACGTGAAAAGCTAAAAGAAATCGTCCAGGAAAGAAAATGCGATACATGAACTAAAAAAGCACGGCCTTTGAGACCCATTCTTTAAAAAAGCAGCGCAGATTCTGATTTACTTCAAGCCTCTGAGGCTGGAAACTCTTTTTGCATAGCTTGGCCCAAGTATGCAAAGTTAACCAGGAAGCTGCAGACTGGCCACACCAATTATCCATATAAATTTACACGCAAAGGTTCAACACTGCACACAAACCCCAAATAATCCAGTATTCTCAATTAAACAAGTAAAAATTACCAAGATAATACTCCATACAGTAACTCTGTCTTAATTTGCATGCCAGGTGTGCACTTACTTAGGAGCACAATAAGCATTGTTTTTTGTCAAACTTCACACAGTAAGTTGCAAGAACAACTAGAAACCTAGGCCCTCAATGTTTCTTTTTATTGTTTTTGTTTTTTTTGTTAGGAACATACGATGAAAGAAGGCACCAAATTCGAGAAAAAGCTAATAAGCCACTTGCCTATGGTGGTCGGCACTTGGATTGATAGTGACGGTGCCCCGTATCTCCGAGTCTTGCTTGACATCGACGGGGTTTATGTAGAGCACCGTTTGCTGCCAATGCGTCTCTCTGCAAATAGCACGAGGGAGAGGCATCTTTTACACACAACGCACAAGTGGAAACTACTCCCACACAGCAGAATATGAAGAGGCGACACGAGTGAAATAGCAACACATTTTTAAAAGGCCTGCCACAAACCCACCCACACACACACTTTACTGGTTACGTACACAGTCGACTAATGATGATTTGCCTTTGATGCAGCACACAAGCAGCAGTGGCAGCAAATCACTGTTTTAATATCATGAAGAACGAAAAAACAAATTGTACTCAGGGGTTCTAGAAGAAGTAGCTGCACTAAGTACTATATATATATAATGATTATAAGGTGCACAGTAGTGGGGAACAATGACTTCATTTAATTTCCGAAACCCTGGTGGATTAATGTACATTTAAACTGAAGTACACAGCATTTAACACTATTTCCCTGTTGAAATTCTGCCGCCAGGGCTGAACTCGATTGCAACTTCAATTGGAGCAGCAAGTTTGATTTTAAATTCAACTCGCACACTCGACCACTGCAGCACACCACAGAACAAAAATAAGCTGCTGAAATCGCTCTTCAGACCACAAGTAACTTTTATGAGGGACTTAACTGTAGCCGATTTTACCTTGCTCTAGGAACTTGTCAAAATAGACTTGTTCAACGAAAGCTTTCATCAAAGGTATTTTCAGAGATTGATTGACACGACTTTTCTTGAGAACAGAATTTTTTTTGTCATACCTGTGACTAAGAATCCATAAACTTCATGAGAAAGATCAAATTAGCAATATTTGGGAGTTTGAAGGTATGACAACACACTT